TCCGAACCACCCGAACTAGAATAGCCACCCCACCTGTCATCCTCCGTCACATCTATTGTTTCCTTTGGTGCACATCACCGTCTCTTTTAGTATTTGTTCACTTGTTCACTGTTAGTCTCCTTCTCTGGAAAGGAGGTGACTTAGGCACTGGGGCCTGGCTTGTCCTCACTGCTGCGTCTCGAACACGTACAACAAGGCCTGCCACACCGGCGCCTGGCCGGCTGACTCCTGAGCCCCGTACTGGAGGGCTCCTGTGGTTGGAGGAGGGACGTATGTGGCACTGATTGCAGGCAGTCCCCAAGGGCCAGAACTCCGAGTCGTGACCATCCCTTAGACGTACATGGCTCCTGTGACGCCGTGTTCACTCTGACCACTGCTGCTTTTCCTTCCCGATGGCGTGTTCTCTCGAGGCCAAGGGTGGTGTGTTCTTGGCGTTCGCAGTGCCCAGCTGGAACCTGGAGCTTGTTTGTTCATGGAGGAGCAGTGGAAAGCTACCGTACTTATAGTGCTGCTATTCAGCTACAGGACGGTTCAGATAGGCTTTTAGGCCCTAAAAGGACCTTTAGCCACCATCTGTGGCCTTCTGGCTGTGGAAAGATGTACTTCAGATTTCCAAATAACTAATGTGGAAATGCATTTTTAGAACCTGGTAATTTGTGAGTTAGGTGCTGCACGTAAACATCCTTGACATGTAAGTAAATCAGAACGAGTGTAGTGTGGACACTACAAACTGTTAGTCTCGTTGTTTCAGAAAAGCACGGCCACCATCCCCAGCCCTGAGCCTGGGTGTTCACTTTCTCTCCTTACTTGCCCTTCTCAAGCCACCTTTCCTCCCGCAGCCTGGGGGCATAGGGACGCCACACTCAGCCCCTCCATCGTTGCTTCTCCTTGGAGCCGAGCTGTGTGAGGTGGTCGGTTGCTGTGCTTTCTGAGTCAGCACCTGGTCCTAGAGGAGCACCCAACGCGGCATCCACGCCTGTCTTACGTCCCTCTTGTTAGCGCACCCTAATCTCTCTGCAGCTTGTGGCTGGAAACCGCTTAATGAGTCCACTCAGCAGACTCTGAGAGTGGCTCACTCTTTTTTCGGGGGGTGGAGGGGCAGAAACACAGCTCCTTCCTTTTACGTACTGCTTGTGACCCACGGCCTAGGGAAAATGAGGCCAAATCCATACTCTCACCCACTCGGGGAAGCAGGCTGGAAGGTGTGCGGGGAGAGAAACCGTTTGGGGGCGTGTTTTCATGCAGAGGCTGAGAAGAAGCGGGAGGCCAAGCAGCGAGCCAAGGAGGCGCAGGAGCGGGAGGTGCGGAAGCGGGAGAAGGCGGAAGAGAAGGAGCGCCGGAGAAAGGAGTACGATGCCCTCAAAGCATCCAAACGAGAGCAGGAGAAGAAACCTAAGAAGGAAACAAATCAGGCCCCGAGTAAGTTTTCCCTCAGTTGTAAGGCCACGGCAGGGCGCAGTGGGGAGACTCAGGTGTGCGTTCAGGCGTGGGTGCGTGAGCGAGCGCGCTTGCACCCCTTAGATACAGTAGACCCGGTGGCCTGGGGGTACCTCGGAGGGTTTGCTTACAGGGAGTGTGGGGCTCTCCTGGGGAGCAGGGGCCCGGTGGCGTGTTCCCCCAGAGCACAAGTGCAGGTGTGTTGGTCCGAGGTGGCTGAGAGCGTTATCAGAACAGGGAGTTGAACTGCTCTGCGAGAGTGAGAATCTGAAATCACCGAGAAAGGTGAAGGTTGCACATGGTCACATGACCCTCAAGAGTCCGTCCCACCACCCGTAACTACACCGAGGGTGTTTTGAGTGCGTTGTGCTCTCAATAACGCCAGCACTGCCTGTGGTTTCCTTTGCAAGTTGGAACAGATCACTCTCTCTTCAGTCGAACACCAGGGAACCATTTGGCCCTTGTTCGGGGAGCCATGTTGTATAGAAGACACATATTAGTGTTTTGCCTGCGTGTGTCCAGTTGCATTTGTGTAGCAGAGTGGCTCCAAGTACTGGGGAGGACGGTACACCCTCTGGGCCGAAGGGGGCCCCGAGGGAGAGCCACCTGCGAGGGAGGAGCTCTGGAGGGCCCGTGGCCCTGGCCCTGCTCACCCTCACTGGCCTTGAGCAAGTCGCCCAGCCTCACAACCTTTTTGTTTCCTTGTGCAAAACGAGGGTCAAGTCTCCTTTCAGAGGAGCGATGAGATGAAGTGAGAAAACCCATGCGACAGGATTGTGAGTTCTCAGCATGTGGGTCCTCAGGGTTTTAAAAATCTCAGAACTATTTTTTTTTTCAATTATAAATGTAATAAATGTGTTCATTGCAGAGAATTTATAAAAGTTATCTCTCTATATATCAGAAAATGGCAGTCACTTCTAATCCCCCATTCTCAGCAGTAATCCGTTAACAGTATGGCATATAATGTTCCAGGCTTGCTTTTTATATGCCTCTTACACAGGCTGGGGCAAAAGGAGGTTTACAGTTGTTCACATTGGAAAGTAATATAATAATTAGTAATACTGTAAGAATAAACTGTGTTTTGCCTACTTACAACTGTAAGCCTACTTTTGCCCCCACCCTGTATAATAATATTAACAGTATTACTGTATCTCAAAAGTGTTTCCCCAAGGGGGCAGCACTGTGTCCACACTCAGTGCCTCCTGACAAGCCCCCGCCCCGATCCCGAGGGGCCTGGACCATCGCCATGTCTTCGAGGAGAACTTAGGACCCTGGGGAGTATGGGTGCAATGTGAGACGTCCAGAATGAGTTCCAGTTTTGAATGTCTCCCTTGAGATCCAAGGAGAAGGCATTTATACTGCAGCTTCCATGTAGTACAGTTTCTAAGAGCTCAGATGTTCTTGAATCAGTTTTCTCTCCAGGCCCAGGGAGCTTTCATTAAAGAAGAGGGGTGCATGTGAATCTGCAGGGGGGAGGCTAGCATAGCTTGGTGGAGCGTGTGGGTCTCCTCAGACTGACTGAACGTTTTTGTCTATTGTGACTCTGTCGCTCCAGAATCCAAGTCCGGCTCTCGGTCCCGTAAGCCACCGGCCCGGAAACACACCCGGTCCTGGGCTGTGCTGAAGCTGCTGCTGCTGCTGCTGCTATGCATGGCCGGCGGGCTGGTGGTCTGCCGGGTGACCGAGCTGCAGCAGCAGCCCCTCTGCACCAGCGTGAACACCATCTACGACAATGCGGTCCGGGGCCTGCGCAGCCACCACATCCTCCAGTGGGTCCTGCAGACCGACTCTCAGCAGTGAGCTTGTCCTCAACACCGGCTGCCTCCCGGCCTTGGAGCTTGGATTCCTATGGAATTGGGTTCTGCTGGACCAACCTCTTTTTAGCGTCAGACCTACCTGCCGTCATTAAATGGCTGCTCATTGGTACTTGAGAACCTCCTCTTTGTAGGACTTCTTTGTTCCTTAGTCAGGGCTCCCTGGTGGAATAAGAAGTGCAAGGTGGGGAGAGAAAAACCTGCATGCCTAAGGAGTAGGCAGGGGGTGGGGAGAGGGGGAAAAACAGAGCCTTCCTAGTTGTTACACAAAGCTATGTAAAGGCAAGGCTCATTTCTACTAAATGGTCAGCTGTCACTACATTTATAGTTTTGTATGTCATGAACCTTTTCTTTCATTCCCCCCCTGGGTAGCCAGGGCAGATCAGGAGGCAGTGGGTTGTTGTTGGGAACTAGGGAACACCATACTTAGCAAATCTAGCCTAAATTGGAGGGGAGGGGCACACGTGTTTTCTTAAGGGACTCAGGCATTCATTTTGATGACCACACAAAACCTCAAACTCAGAAAGGGACTTGAAGACTGTCCAGTCCAACAGAACACTTGCTGATAAGGAACTTGAGGCCTCCATGACTTGCTTACAGTCTCCCAGTTAGTTTGAGAGAGCTGGACTTCCACTCTGGTATCCTTTTTTTCTTTCCCATCATTTTGCCTTCCTTATTATGTCCTGAGAGAACGGAACTCACACCAGAACTGTCTCTCAGCCAGAGTGTGGAATCTTTTATGTAGACAGATTCATGACTCACACAGAAATCTCACAGCCATGAAGGTCTCAGACAGCCCCTGTGCAGTCCTGTGCCTAGTTATGTGGCTTCCCTAAAACGCCTTGATTTCGGAGCATTAACTCTCCCCCATTGCCAGTAGGTAAGGGGGACCTTTACAAAGCCACACTGTCTGTAATCAGGTAGCATCACGGTGGTGCTACCGTGACAGTGGGCAGGGACTGTCATCACTAGTGCAAGTAGGGGCAGGACTGCCACTCTCTTGTCCGCGGGGCTGTTTCCTGGCTCAGTGGCCTTTGCTCTGTCTTTGACAACAGCAGGACGAAGGGATCAGGAATAGCTGTGTCGTGGTGCTCACTCGCTGAGGTCGGATGGCGAGCTCCTTGCCTCTCGTCCAGGAGAGCAAAAACCTGTTATGATCCAGACATGAAGGAACAGCTTCATGTTCCTTCATGGGTCCAGCTTCTAAGCCATAGTGGCCCAGTTGGATAGGACTGCCACTTGTGACTATCCTGAAATTGGAAGAAACAACTTTTCTCCCTGAAGGATAGCTCTGCTGCATAGGCCCCCACCTTACTTAGTATCACTACACATTCCTTTAGTCTTCCTCCAAGCTCCAGAGCCATTGGTACAAACGCTTTATTGAACCTAACCATGTAGCACATAAAATAAGTCTGAGAACACAGAGGTCGGCAGTGATCAGACCCGCCCCCGGCTGGTTGAGGCAGCCCCAGCGCGTCCCAGGCTGGAGCACGCCCAGCCTAGTACAGTTGGTCCACCGAGGGCAGTTCACTCATGATCTCTAGATCTGATGAGGTTCTTTTGGATTTCTACAACTATTAAACATGTGTCTGAGCAGTCTCTCTGTGTTCCTTTGTGTTCTGGGGGCTGGCTGGGGCAGAGGCCGGGGTAGGGATGGCTCGTGCATGGCAGCTGATTTCTGCCAGGAGAGGGGCACTGAATGTGGTGAAAGTAAATGCAGACATCCCAGCCAGCTGACAGGGAGGGAGACCTCCAAGGATCACGACACCTACCCGTCTATCGTGGACCCGACCAGGCCCACGCTACGGGAAGCACTTCCAATCCCTTCACCGTAGTCCTGTCCCAAGGTGGGCGAGGCGGAAATATGTAGCTTTTCGTCCTGTCCCTGAGGGCTAGCTTTAGTCTGCACTGTCCAAAGAGAGGTCTGGCTGCAGCGCGGTCATCTGAAGGTAGACACGTCTGGACAGCTCTGGCCCAACACGGCGGGAGGTGGAAGTCACGCCTTCCCCACGGCGCACCTGTATGTCTGCAAGCAGAGTCTGGCGTTCTTGCTCCGAAAAACACCGCCTATAAGCCTGGAAGTGGAAAATGATCTCTCAGTACCGCACCGTCCACAGTCATCTATGAACTACAGTGTGGTGACCCTGGGGCAGGGAATGAGAAACTGTCCTCCCACCCCGGGTCAGCGTTAGCTTGGGTCTCAGCAGACCTGCACTGTTGACCTACAAGGCATTCTTGGGCCCTCACAAAAAATGCCGCCCGTGGAAACCCTGTGGGAGTCCCACTAAGGTCGCAGGGCACTGGGCCGAGGCCCCCGGAGCAGCATACCCGGACCAGGAGCTGTGGGGAGGGATAGGCGGCCACAATAGCACTGGCCATTTCCAGGCTGACGCGGTTCAGCTGCTGAATCTGTCTCCTCCAGACCTGAGCAAGCCCCCTGCCAGCACGGTCCACCTTCGCCCCTCCAGCCCAGTCACTCTCCAGGCAGAAGGAGAAACTAGTTTGGTCTCGGAGTTTCCTGTAAACAGCACAGATGAAGAGCTGTGAGTCACTGGGGAGTTTCCTGTACCTGTCTCCTTAACTGGGGCCTTGGAAGAGGTAGACATGTTCTACCTTGATCCCAAGCAGTGCTAGTTGCAGATTCCCTTAAAAGCAACATCTAGTCCTTCTCATTAAAAGAGAAGGTACCAGAACAGTACGAGAATCTTTTATGTTGAGATGGGTTGCATCGACCAGAGAGGCAGTGCACAGGGTCAGACGTCGGGGACCGGATATCCGGCCCTGTGCTATCTGTTCCGCTTCTTCCAAATTGCAAGGAACTTGTTAAGTCCTTTCAGGTCTCAGTTCCCTCAGGTAGAAAATGAGGGACTTGGACTAGATCGTCTTTGAGTTATTAATTTTAAATTCTGACTATGAACACTCCTTGAGCCAAGTAGGCTAAACATTTCATTTTACAAGAGCCTATCACATTGTGACCTGACCTGTAATGAACCCTGGCGACTTGGCTGCCGGTGACCGCCGCGAACCAGCAGGACACAAACACAGAAGCTACAGCAGAGTATCTGACAGGGACTGGGCTGGAGGGCTCTTTCCCAGAACCCCCAGCATGAGGTCAGCTCCTGCTTCACGCCTGAGAGACGAAGGACTGACAGAGAGGTTCAGGGGAAAGGGACATCTCTGGATCCTAGAACCGCTGTAAAGCACAAGACCCAGCAGTGGGGCTGGGATGTGCTGGGGCACTTACTTGAAGGGCGCCTCAGCCACAGCCTTTGTGAACGCGCACGCAAAGTCGGCCAGCTCTTTCCAGCTCTGCACAACTCGAGCCTGGGCGTCTGTGTGCAGCTGCAGGTCCACCAGTGCCTAAACCCAAAGGCAGACAGACTGGAGTGGAGGAGAGACTGGTCTGAAGTTGTTCTCCCCTCCGTGTTCACCGTGTGCACCCCAGCCCCTCAGCTCCTGTTTGGCTCCTTCCCTCCTACCCAGTACCAAGGCAGGGTACTCCCCTCTTTCTCAACAGCAAATTGGGTTAGATCAGATGGGTGCCCAACCTGCTCAGGCAACAGGATGTTCTCACCTTCTCCATGTCCACCCTGGACACCGTGGGCCCTGTGTCGGCCTCTGGTGGTTTATTTTTCTTCTTCTTGGCCTGTTCTCTGTTTGCCACTCCCTGCTTCCTTCTCCTCGGAGGACTCGGAGCACTGGAACAGGGGAGGAAAGCAAAGAAGGGCAGGGCCTTCAGGCTGAGCTGAAGCAGAGGAGGCACGAGAAGACTGGACCAGAGCATCCCCCAGGGCTTGGCAGGGATGCTCTGTGGCAGAGGGACCAAGATCTGGGATGAAGAAATTCACCCCTGGTGGTCCAAGAGCTGCCCCTTTTGATGCTAAATCCTGAGGACGAATCCAAACCTGAGGCGCTTCTCCGGATCCACAATCACCAGTGACAGAGCTTTCCCTGCTGTCCTTGCCGTGATGTCAGTTACAAAGGTCCGAAGTGTTTCTTTCCCGTCCTCAGTGCCACCTGCACTTCCCTGCATAAAGGGCAGAAACTGCATTAATGCTTGCCCCCTGTCCCCTGCCTCAGTGCCCACCCCTCCAGCTCTGCCCACCTGCTTGAAGTTGTGGACCATGAGCACGAACGCCTCTGCCAGGAGCAGCACCAGGACCACGGGCTCCTCCACCCAGCCCTCCTCTCCATCCTGCCAAAGCACCTAGAACCCAGCAGAGGCAGACAAGTCAGAGGTGCTCACCACGTGCGAAACCCAGGCCTTCTGGCACTCACCCCATCAGCCTAGGCCATGTCGCTTTATTCTTTTTCTTCCGGAATGAAGTCACGGTGGCGAGAACCAATAACCTATGACCCTGTCCCTCCCCAGTCTCAACTACTCAGCCTTGGCATAATGCACCTCAAAGGCGGTGGATAATAAAGGAACATTAGTGACTTGGAATGGGCTGAGGAAATTATGAGATCAAACGAGGGAGCAAAAAAATAATGTTCAAAAAACTAATGTTTCATCTAGACTCTTGAAAATGCGGGGTGGAGTATTCCGGATTCGCAGATGAGAGGGACGGAAGGCACAGGAGCTAGAGTACCCTGGGGAGCCCGGGCCGGGAGGGAACAGGAACCCTGTGCGTACCTAGGTGCTCAGTGCTTGGTTATCTCATTTAGTCCCCAAAACACGGAGGGGGGTGGGCAATGAAAGGGATATAACAGTGTCCTCATTTTATACACGAGGCACAAAGTGATTGAATAATTTGCCCCGAGTCATAGCAATAAAGCCACAGGCTGTGATGCAAACACAAGCCCAAACACTTGGCCTGCCGGTGAGCTGTTCCCAAAGCCCACTTAGAATTAGGAAGCCTGTGCAGGTTCCATTCCCTCTGCCCCACAGACCCACTCTCCACCCCTCCCCACTCTGCGGTCTCTGCAGACTACATCACAGTGTCCGCATGCATTCTGGCTGGGCGTGGCCGGTGGAAAAACCAGCAGGAGACTAGGGGGGAAGGGGAGAGTTGAGTCAGGGTATTTCTTCCCTCAGCCCCTTCCCAATAGGGTCACCTGGGATTTCCTACCCTCCTCTGCTGGAGGTCAAGCTTCTTTCAGGCTGATCCTCTCTACATTTCTCTCCTGGATTCTGGCACCCACTTCCTCCCCTCATCCCTTCAGGCCTAGGCATGGTGACAGCTATGGTGACCCGGTGGTACCCAACCAGGGCGATTTTCCTCCCACAAGGAACATCTGCAATATCTGGAGACATTTTCGATTGTCACGACTGGGAGGAGTGCCACTGGCATCTAGTGGGTAGATGCCAGGGAGGCTGCTAAACATTCTACAGTGCACAGGACAGCTCAGCACAGGAGAACTACCTGAAACGGCAACAACACCCAAGGTGGAGAAAGCCTGAGTTAATGCTGATACTGCCCTGAGGTATTGCATCGTCCTTTGTAGTTTCCTTGTACCCTGCCCATGCCTTGGAAAACAATCTCTTAGTAAGTCCTCCTCAAATTATCTTGAGTGTGCCATCTGCTTTCCTGCCGGGGCCTTGACCAAGGTGTATAAGGGGGGGTGGGGGGAGAGGACAGACAGAGCCAGGAAAGCCCTACCTACCGCGGCCGGTGCAGCCCTTCTCCTCCAGGTGATGCTGCGCGGCACGGCCTGGGCCTCAATCACACAGCAGCACTCCATGGCCTGCAGCGCTCCGAGGAGCTGGCCCCCTCCTTCCGTCTGGAGAAGCACTGCAACAGACAGGACAGGGGCTGTCAGGGGTGGCCCGGCAAGCAGAGACCCAGCCCAGGGTGAAGACGGATGCTGGGAGGACCTGGATCCAGCACCACGACGAGGTGTTTCAAGCACTCCTCTGGCCTCTGGGCTTTTGCCCTGTTGGCCAGTGCTGCCTTCTTTTTCCTCTGCGACTGTGTCAGGGCGTTTTCCTTCTGGCTTGCTTGTCCCCGCGGCTGGCATCCCTTCGAGCCTCTCCTCTGGACCTCCTGACTGTGCTTGGCTCGCTTCTGAGATGGAGGGACCTCAGCACCTGTTTTTGTTATCATCAAGTTGTAGCTCTGGAGAGGGCCGGCAGCTCGGTGGGCTGGAAGCCGACAGCGTGCACTGTCCACCACGGGGTCCTCGTTAGTCGGTGCACACCTCTCTGAGGTGCGACAGAGGGGAACATCACGCGTCTTTGGAGACCACTGTTTTTTCTTGTCACACGATGCTCCTTCATTATTTTTATGATCCAAAACTCGCTTAACTGGGGAGCTAGAGTCCTCAGGGCTCAGCTGCTTGTGGGTCAAAAACTTACATGTAAGCCTCTCAGCCAGGGGAATAAGTTGCTCCTCATCCTCACTCCCACTGCTTAGCACCCTGGCTGACTGTGTCTGTGCAACAGTTTCAGCTGTATCCGGGACAGGTGGTGGGTCTTTCCACCTTGGTGATGGAGGGCAGGAGGCCTCAGAATCTGAGGTATCGACCACCACAACCTTCTCTTCCCTCTGAGGCCGCTTCCTCGTTGTTGAAGGTGGTTCCTTCTTCAGAAAGGTAAACACTGGCAACTCCTCAGAATCACTCTCACTGGATTCCAGTGAGAGCGACAACTCCTTCAGAGCCATCAACACGTAATAGCAAATTAATTCTCTAAAAGACAAAGAAAGGTGAGACACAGACTGTGGCATTCAATTCAGTCCACTAGATGTGTTCTATGGCCAAGCGTTATGGAGATGAACACAACACAGAGAAACAGAGACATGAGACCTGTCCCCAACACACTCAGCCTGGAGCTCAGAACACCTATGCCTGTGGTCTCAGATCCTTTCTAGGTCAAGGTGAGACACAAACAAAGTGGAGGTTAATAATACAAGATGTTAATGGAGTAGTAACAAGATTCACGCCACCTCCTCACACTGATCTTGGCATTTGAAATGGAGATGACAAAAGTCATCCTTTAAAAAACATGAGATGCCTTAAAATTCATCCTTTTAAAGCATACAGTACAATGTTTCTTTGTATATTCACAAGGTTGTGAAACCATCGCTACTAATTCCAGAATATTTTCATCACTCCCAAAAGAAATACCATAGCAATTAAGCAGTCATCCATTTCCCCTTCCCCTCAGCCTTTGGCAACCACAAATCTATTTTTGCTTGTTCTAGATGTTTCAAATAAATGGAATCATACAATATGTGGTCTCTTGTGACTGACTTCTTTCCCTCAGCAGGCGAGGTTCATTTATGTTGTAACATTTTTTAGTACTTCATTGCTTTTCTTTTTCTTTTAAGAGATTTTATTTATTTTTAGAGAGAGGGGAAGGGAGGGAGAAAGAGAGGGAGAGAAATATCAATGTGCCAGACATGCATCAATCGGTTGCCTCTCATATGCCCCCACTGGGGCCTGGCCCACAACCCAGGCGCGTGCCCTGACTGGGAATCAAACTGGTGTCCTTTTGGTTCATAGGCCAGCACTCAATCCACTGAGCCACACCGGCTAGAACGTCATTGCTTTTTATGGCTACATAATACTTCACTGTATAGACACGACACATTTTGTTTATCTCTTCATCACTTGATAGACTTTCAGTTTGTTTCCATTTTGGGCTATCATGAATGATGCTGCCATTGCCCTGGCTAGTGTGGCTCAGTGGATTAGGTGCCAGCCTGAGAACCAAAGGGTCGCTGGTTCGATTCCCAGTCAGGGCACAAGTCTGGGCTGTGGGCCAGGTCCTGGGTTGGGGGCATGCAAGAGGCAACAACACAATGATGTTTCTCTCCTTTTCCCTTCTGTCTAAAAATAAATAAATAAAATCTTTAAAAAATAATGCTGCCATTGGACATTCATGTAAAAGTTTTTGTGTGGATGTGTTTTCAATTCTCTTGTAAACGTACATAGGTGTGCAATTGCTGTGTCGTAAGCAAGAGTCATTCTTTGAATAAATACATACTAACACTAGAGGTGTGAGTCCGGAGAAGCCATGTAATTTTCTGGGCCTCCCGTTCTTCTTTAGTAAAACAAAACAAAACAAGGATAATGACAATGCCTACTTTATAAGGTTGTGAGAAACGAAAGAAACCATGCATCTTCTACAGCGCTTAGTTCAGTATCTGGCACACAGTATGAGCTCTGTAAACTAGGCTCAATGACTAGGGAGGGACCTCATCCTGGTACCCTCGCAGGGCCTCGGTAGACTCCTGCAATATTAGGGAGTGGGGCAGGAGAGACCTGCAGGGCGCGCTCCCCTTCCAGCAACGCTCCTCTGTTCATCCACACCCCGTGGCGAAGGCCCAGGCCGCCCAGGCCGCCAAGCCCCTGTGGAGCAGTGCCCGGGAGGGAAACCCAGCCTTGCCCGCCGCGTCCGTACCCGCAGCCACAGGGATAGACCCAGCTCACCTGCAGCTTCTCCCGCCATTCTTTCAACCGCCGAGCAGGACCCGGAAGTAGATCTTCCGGCAGCGGAAGCAGAAGGAGTGTACGGCAAATATGGCGTCGGCATTGCTGGCGCTGAGTACTCGGGCAGTTGGTAAGGGGGCGCGAGGCTGTTACCGGCCGAATGGTGGCGGTGCAGCGGAGACCTTGCAGGGAACCTGGGGTGGAGGCCTGTCCCTACGTGGAGCCCTGGTGCGGGGTGTGAGGAGAAGTGTGCCGGGCTCGTGAAGTTGGAGGGACGGCTGTCGCCGGTCACGTGACATCTAGGGCGCAGAGCTGTGGGTGGTGGTTCTAGGAGCTCCTGTCTTTCCCCTGCCTGGCGTGCAAACACAGCTTCCCTAGCGATTGGTGACATGGGCTTGCTGCTTCACCTCTCTGGTTTTGTTTGGACACTTTAAAAAATGTATACTTTATTGATTATGCTATTCCAGTTGTCCCATTCCCCCACCTTCATTCCCCTCCGACCTGCACACCCCCTCCCACCCGCATTCCCCCCCTTTAGTTCGTGTCCATGTGTCATAAGTTCTTTGGCTTCTACATCTCCCATACTATTCTTGCCCTCCCCCTGTCTATCTTCTACCTACCATCTATGCTACTTATTCTCTGTAAGGTTTCCCCTTCTCTCCCCCTCCCCTCTTGTTAACCCTCCATGTGATCTCCATTTCTGTGGTTCTGTTCCTGTTCTAGTTTACCTAGTTTATTTGTTTTTTGTTTGTTTTAGGTGTGATTGTTAATAACTGTGAGTTTGTTGTCATTTTACTGTTCATATTTTTTATCTTCTTTTTCTTAGATCAGTCCCTTTAACATTTCACATAATAAGGGCTTGGTGATGATGAACTCCTTTCATCTATAAAAATATAGGTTACTAACATCGACACACCAGAGCTCAAAGCGTTAATCTGTTTGCTCAGCAGATTGAGGTCTGTCTTTGTGCCAAACACTGTGGGGCTCTCAGCAGAAGAGAAGACATAGTCTCTCTATCCCCAGGATGGCTCTTTCTAATGGATAACCCAATAAATAAGCACGTGAATAAAATGACGCTGTGAAAGCAAGCGTGTGCACGCGCACACGTTTGCCTTTGTGTGTGTCTTTGTTTAGTTTGGGTGGTCAGGAGAGCCCTCTGAGGAGGTAACATCTAAGTTAAGATCTGCAGGATGGCAGAAAGCTTAGCTCTGTAAGAGAGTGAAGGACAAATGAGTGGCCCAACTCACCTTTAAATGTTGAGAAGCAAACTCTTGTTCTTACGTGAACCTAAAGAGGATAGGAATAGAAATGAAGAAACCAGATGGGGAGCTGTAACACCAGCCCTGAGGAGAGATGATCTAGCCAAGACGTTAGTGTCAGTGAACTTGGAAGGAGATGGATGGGTTTGAGATCTGTCTTGGGTGTGGAACCCACAGAGCTTGCTGGTGAACTTGATGTGTGAGGAGAGCGAAGGGAAGGAATGTGCAATGACTCCCTGATTTCTGCCTGAACAACTGCATAGCTGGTAGCATCACTTACAGAGAGGAGCGGGCTGAGGACTGGGTGGACGGCAAAGATTTGTGAGTGAGAGAATGTAGGGAGAGCAAAAGCCCAGTTCCTGAGCTTAATATGTGAGTGAGTGAACACATGAAGAGGTATTTAAATGCAGCTAGACTTGTACTGGGCATTTCATGTGTTGTCTGCCTAAGTCCTTATCTCTGGTCCTTTGTCCCAGTTAGTCTCTGTTCTTACTAAAACTTCAGAAACTTAGCTTTGGGGACTCTGAACTTACAGGCTCCAGACCCCACAAGGTTTCTCTTAGACCTGCCATGGCCCTGATGAACTACCCTGGAGACCTGGAAACAAGGACCGCCAGCCCTGGGCTTGTCATGTAGCAAAGGACTTCCATCCTAGTTAGCATGGATTTTAGTTTGCTTTCCTTTTTAAAACAAATGCCACTGAGCACTTTGGAATGAGCATAGAGAGGTCAGATTAATGGGGCAGAGTGTCAGTCTTCTTGGTTGGACCTGTGCATGGTAGGCTTGCTGAAGAAAGGTCCCAGCCTTCTGGAACGGCCGTGATGCCGTGGGAGCCATCCTTAGAGAAGCTGCCTTTCTTGTTTACAAGGACCTGGTGTACAGTGGAGGGGTAGATTGCTAAGGAAGTGGTGGCTGAGGCCAGAACAGGAGTCTCCCTGGATGCCCTGTTGCTGGGCTCTGTGGTCTGGCCCCTCCACAGTGCAGGGAGCCTTGAGGGCATGATGGGGAGTGAGGCTGAAATAGGCCCCTCTGTGGTGTCCTCTTGCTGGCTTCTAATTCTGTGGTGTTTGTTCCTTCTCAGTAGGGCTGAATGTGTCCAGACCCAGGGCACACGGTGTTTTGGGGTTGTTTTTTTCCCACTAATATTTTACTGCCCCACCCCTCTTCCCCTGGCCACACACAGCATACATACACACATCTCATGCAGTGCTTACTCTCTGGACAATACAAGGAATTGCTTGTCTCCTGCTGTGGGAGAAAGCCAGGGTCTTCAGACACTCCCTGAAAACCAACGCAGTCAGGTGGCATTTCTGTTCCCTTGGCTTCCTCACCTCCTCCGCCACCGCCTCCTCCCACCTCTCAAACTAGCACATGGCCCACTGAGGCGGAGAAAGAGTCTGTCTGAACAGTTCTGTTTTCTCTGCAGCTACAGCCCTGCTGAAGCCCCCTCAGGCTGCAGCTCTTGCCGTCAGATATGCATCCAAGAAGACAGGCGGTAGCTCCAAAAACCTCGGTGGAAAGTCACCAGGCAAACGCTTTGGCCTCAGGAAAATGGAGGGTGAGGGTGTACCTTGGCTTCCATTTCCTAGCTGGACCCCTACCCTGTGCCCTGGCATTCCTTTGAAGAGCAGGCAAAGCATGCAAGTACCTAGCCGGGTGCTCTCTGCTTAGCTCACCGAAGTCTTGGCTCCAGATTAAAGAGTCAGATTAAACCGAGGCGGGGTGGGGGGCCTGAGGAAGAGCAGACAGTGGGAACCTTAGGCATGTGACTCAAGAGAAGAGGCTGCTGGCTGGGGATGGATCTGCTTGCGCTCAGCCATCTGGGAGCTGGTTTTTTCCAGGGGCAGGCCTAGGGGCTGATGTGCAGCACCGGGGCCAGGACGGCGTGGGCGCCATCGTGTTTTCTTAGCAGTTCGCTGTGCTGCCCTGCAGTCAGTGCACTGTGGACTTCTCTCCTAGGCCACTATGTTCACGCCGGCAACATCCTGGGGACTCAGCGCCACTTTCGCTGGCACCCGGGTGCCCATGTGAGTTATTTTGTGCCCTACCCACCCCACTTTCTTTTCTGGGACCACCTTTCCATGCCTCTAAGCACAGCAATAATAATAAAACAGCTGCATTTGGGGGGTGCTTAACAAGCACTGTGTTGGTTCCTGTCCCTGTGGTATCTCATTTACTCCTTGCTCCTTCCCTGCGAGGTAGGCAGTTATCCCTATTTCACAGGTAGGATGTCAGAGATGTAGACAGTGGAGGGGCCCGAGCAACAGAGCTGGGGTTTGAACCTTGTCTGCCAGACTCTCCGATCCCTGTGTTTTGGCTTGGAAAGCACTGGGTTTCCTTACTAACCCCCAGTTCTTGGAGAAAAAGATGCCTAGTGGTTTGTTTTTCTGAATCTTGGGAAACTGATTATAATCTATTCACTTTTCTTTATTTCTAAGAATTCCTCCTTTGCATAAAGTTGTTCCTAGATGGCCAAAAGAGAGCTCGAACTTAATACAGTAGAATTGAATGTGTATGTCAGAAGTTAGGTCCATACCAGGCAGGGACTCCAGTTCAGCAAGCTGAAATTACTGAGGTAGGGAAGTTCTTTGGTAACACAAGCCTGTACTGTATTCTTCACATTGTTTTAAAATGAGGTCCTTCATAATCAGTGCCTCCATGCCCTACCCCTTTTTGGGCAATTTTAGTAGGAACAGAAAGACTGATAGTAACCTATAATTTCAAAAATACTAACCTGTATGTGAATTGGTTGTATTTGTGTAGCTTTATCTTTTAGAACTTGAGACATGGGCTATGTTAACTCTTGGGACTTGCTAAAATAATGATGACAATAGTAAAAGCCAACATGTTTTGAACTAGAGTATTCCAAGTATTCTAAGCTCTTTGTGATTGCTCACTCATTTCATCCTTGAGGTGACCCTATTAAGTCGTTACTATCCGTGCTTTGCAGATGACAAAGCCGAGACTTCAGTGAAGTGCAGTAACCTGCCCTGATCAGACATGACAAGTAGCAGTGCTGGGTTTGAATCAAGCATCCTGGCGCCAGAGTCCACTCTTTTAATCAGAGAATAATAAATAATGCTGGACTGCCTGGATGAAAACTGTCACACATCCAGTCTCAGATGCTAAAAGAAAAAAGCTAGAATATATACAGTTAAAAAACCATGTACAACATACAATTTATTTAATCTTTTTGCTCATGTTTGTCTGAAAAACAGTTAGAAATAGTACCTACTAAACAGATGAGAATTAAATGAGTTGATGGGTATTAAAGGGCTTTATTAGTATATATCAATATTATAAAAGGGCTTAGAACAGTGCTTACCCATGGCAAGCACTATATATAAGTATCACCTGATATCATCATTTTCTTCCCATATATATTGTCCATGTAGCTTTGCTTTACTCTTTCCTTAAAGCCTAAACTTGGTAGATCACTATATAAATGAAAATGTATGCCAAACTAGTGTTTATTATAACTCCAGTATTTTTGAAATCTTAAGTAGGGGCATTTTCTTGGGCCTGTTTTGGGAATCTGTCCAGTGAGGCTTCTGGCCAGTTGCACCGGTGGGGGTCTAGGTTAACAGCCCTTGGGGATTGAGCAGTCACCCGGATTGGCTGTCATTTTCTTTTCCCCCTCTGTCATGGAGACGGCACAGGAGTAGAAGGCAAGGCAGTGTCAAGCAGTGGGAAAGGGACCTGAGAAGGAGCTTTCTGAACCCTTCCCTTTGGCCCCAGGGCCCGACCCCTTACGAGAAGTCCGTCCCCCAGCCCCAGCACGACC